CTCACGATATGTAGACCACTTCCTCTGTAAATCTCTCTCATCAGTAATGAAAGTATTGACTAACTTGACGACAAGTTCAAAATTGAACCACGAGACATACTTTCGTAATGCTTTAAAAAGCTGATTCATCGTTTTAACATGTTCAAACTCTTTTTCAATTGACTCAATCAGTTGGGCTTTACGAAAACATGGACTGAGTAAAAGTGCTATATAATCTTGAATGAAATCGACAACTTCTGAGACATCAATAAAATGAAATGATTCCTTAGTAAAACGCATATTATCAAGGTAAACTTCTTGTAGATCTCCAATCTTTCGTTTCAGGTTTTCCGGTAAATATTCAAATGATTTCTTCTTAACATAAATGACTGAAGACTCAGATTGAAGTGAAGTAGGAACTGGTAGCTCAACAGTTGGAGTAGCTTCTGAAATAATAAATAAATAAAAATAATTATTTTAAATGAATGATATTAAAGGGACACGTTCACTGAAATAGAATGCACACGTTACTGTAGAGGAAGTAAACATTAAATTGGGCGTGCAACAGATCATTAATTAATAGTTATGACACGTGTTTAGACATGCGTAGCAGGGGAGTAGGAACAGGGGGGGGCAAGTTGCCCCCCAATATTATTTCAGAGGGGGCATTGCCCCCTCAATATCAACCAATGATTTGATTTATTACAGGTCTGTACCTAGGGGGGTGATAGGGGTGACAGGTCACCATCCTTTTTGCTGTCATAATAATAATTATGACATAGTAATTGTAGTTCAAAAAAATGTTAAAATTGCTCTTTGAGCAGCCCTTTTTAAAAATTTTTTCTGGGGGTACCCCCCAGACCCCCCTTCTCATAAATACATGCATACACACAATCTGTCTTGCCCCCCCAATTGAAAAATGGTTCCTACTCCCCTGCGTAGAGAGTAGAGAGAGCAATCAGTCGCAGAACCAGGAGTAGGCATCTGTAGAACACTTCTCTCGAACAGAATTAGCTCTTTTGCCACCCCAAGATACTCTTTTTAGTGAAGAAACACCAGGAATATTTACAAGTAGCCACTCGAGTAGCCATTTTGCCTTAATTATTAGGGGCGCAGCCGCACGTTATGAACAGTTATCAACACTAAACGTCATCATTAATGATGTCATCTTGAAAAACGGGCCAGTTTTTCAAGATGACGTGCTTCCGTGCATGTGACCCTTTATGTTAAACTTACCTTTAGAAGATGAAGTATGAACTGGTGATGTAGTATCCTCTCCACTACTAGTAAGATTAAATTCTTTTGCTATTTCATCAGCTAGAGCTGGATCAGCTCCTCCACTATTACTTTTAATGGATTTACACACCATTCTTAATGTAGGGACACCATGACTCTTATAGTCATAGTCCTTCTTTAACCAGCAATCAAATACTTTCCGTAGGCAGCCTCTGGCCGTCTTTGTCTCTGCTTCTATCTCATCTATCTTATTAGAACTGATTCCTAACAGAATACCAATAGAGTCCCAGCGTCCTGAAAGAACACCAGCTTTTTCCCATACCAGTCGAAAATCAGTAATATCTATCATTAATAATACATACTAATAAAACAATTATTATCAATATCTACTCACTAAGTTCTCTGTCAAAGACTCTTTTCAGTTCCTCTGGTTTAGTTGACATTTTTGCTGCAATAACTGACTCCGCCCCTCAGTACAACATGAATGAGCAATGTCTTGAGGAGAGGACAAGGGGGTGTCACTTGCATATAGACTGTAGTTACACTTGCGACCGCGATCAAAAGCTTTGATCTGCATAAAAAGACCTTTGACACCTTGATCTACAGGCTTGATTTCCCTTGATGCTTGATTTTGATGAGCTCACATGCGTGCACAGCTAATTAAAAATTCATAGATCTGCATAATCAAAGATATACGGAAAATATACATAATCTTGATGCCTGCTACCATAGATAATAGAGGAAATGAATAATAGAGTAAATAATAGAGTAATTATCTATGCTGCTACAGACTGTCTTGATCCCTTGATTGCAATGTCAATAATAATAATGTCTTAATAATGTCAATCTGATTGTCCCTTTGATGTCTTGATTTTGATTTGATCGCGGTCGCAAGTGTAACTACAGGCTTGATGAAAGTGACACCCCCTTGGAGGAGGAGGAATGGTCAGTTTGAAGGAGAGTGAAAAGCGGTATCTCTTTTCTTTTAATATCTCAGTCCTTGTAATGGCTGCCAATAGCTCCTTAAATCATTCATTCTCTCTATTTAGAGATTTTCTTTCTGATAGCCCGTTTTCTAGAGGAGAGCTCTTGTAGGAGAGCGGCTAAGGTAGGACAAAGACGGGCGAGTCTTTTCTGTTTGTTTTTGAAGAGAAGAGACACGCCATTACACGTGGTCACTCATTCTTGTTCTTTTTCTATCTTGTTACAGGTACTGATAGAAGAGTTGGAAGAAAAGGAGGTGAGAGGAAAGAGAAAGAAGAATCCTTCTCTTTCTTAAGCTTTGGGAAAGATGGAGAGATAGAGAAGGTTTCTACCCGGCTTCTTTCTCTCTAGAGCGCCATCTTGTCCCCCAACCGTGTACTGTAAAAGTGGTTCTATTGGCCACTGAAGCTTATTTTGTTGTATCTATTGTTACTAATGTGTCTCTCTTTGTCTCCCTCCTTCTCTTTATCCACTAGTTGTTGTTTAAATGTAAGAAATGGAGCGGAGAAGAGACTAAGTTAACTTTTGAGGAAATCAAACGCGCTGCGCGCATTATCGGCGCATATTTAATTAGTGGGTGTGGTCAATAATTTAATTATTAATGAACCTCTCTCTCTAGTCTAAGAGAAATGTCCACATATCCTCAGATTATTTATTATTATTGTGTAATGAGTTGTGCTCTCAGTTGGAGTCATCAGGTTCCATTAGAAGAGGAGGAGGGGGAGGTCACTCACTAATTGGGAATGAGATATCATCATTTATTTATAATAATAATTATTATAATAATGGTAAGATTATTAATATAATATTTGGTGATTGTCCAGTATAAAGTATCCTTCATTTTCTGATTCTCTCTCTCAGTTTCTAGTTTGTTAAAGTTAACTAATCAAAAACATGATTTCACAACTGATCACTTACAAACAGTCGTGACGCCAACGGTACCGGAAGTCATAAGAGCCTGTATAATTTTATTGTAATACACTTGACAGTATGAATAATTAATGAGTTGCTACTTTATTTTATATTTATTTTTCATTTAATAGTTTTACTATGAAATTTGCATACAATACACAGAACATACATATTTATCACTATAAAAAACATCAACCAGTTTAAATAAACTATAACAGAACTGCAAGCAACTGATGTCCTTGACTTTACCGGATGCGTACAGTGTTCTAGACAACTCCAGCTTCTTGTCCATTCGCTTACAACAAGATAGTAGCTAGAAGAATATACTCCAGAAGTTTAAAGTTGTTCCAGCAAGAAATAAGGATGCTGTGGTCTCTGAAAGTCAATGGCACATAATATGACTATAATGACAAGTATAAAATCTAGCTCTAAAAGGATTTCAAACAATTCTATTGAGGTAAAATGACTTGATTAATGATCCTGAGTGTGGAATCTGTAGAAAAAAGGAACAGAACAGTCAAAATATGGCATGAAAGAATGGACCATGCAGGCTGAATCTACATTATGGATGCAACTGTCGTTCTAGACAACAGTATCAAAACGAAACTTTGCATACACAAAGATCTACTGATAGGCCAGTTGCATACCTAATTCTGAGCTGTTCTGGCCAGTCCCAGTACTATTATATACCTAGATAGTGTACACCATTTTCCAAACAGCGACAATAACAAGCAAAATATACTTACATTTCAGACTGAAAACTAACCAATTGATTATATACCTTTTTGCTTCAAGTTTGAGTTTGCTTCTTAGAGCTATAGACTACCCACCATCTTGTAAACTGCACAAAACTAAACACAGCTTTAGCCATCACTTGGCAGCCATTATGACGTCACTTGGAAAATAAAATTCACGTGAGCTTACCGTTGGCGTCGCGACTGCAAAAAGACAGCACACTACACCTCTGTAAGTTTATTTATTATTATTATTATTATTATTATTATTATTATTATTATTATTAGGTACTTTATTACATTCCACTCGTCTTTCTTCCATTCCTTCTATGGCTTCTCTTCTAATTCAACCAATCAACTTCACTAAAATGAAAAAGGTACATGTACATGTATTAACAAATCCTCCCGTTACCATGGTAACCCTACACACACAGCACACAGTGATACTAGGTCATCTTGCTCCAGTGTTTTGTCTCTCATTTGATTCAACTGGTCAAAGGATCATTACTGTTAGTCCTCCATTACTGGTATATCATGTACAGTGTATTCTCATTCCAATCATTCCACCTCCCCT